TTAAAAAAAAATTTTTTTTTTTTTGGTCTTTTTGAGACGGGGTCTCCCTGTAGCCCCAGCTGGCCCTGAACTCCCAGAGATCCCCCTGCCTTTGCCTCCTGAGCGCTGGGATTAAAGGCATGCGCCACCACGCCAGTCTCAATGTAATTTAAAAAAAAATTTTTTTTTTTTTGGTCTTTTTGAGACGGGGTCTCCCTGTAGCCCCAGCTGGCCCTGAACTCCCAGAGATCCCCCTGCCTTTGCCTCCTGAGCGCTGGGATTAAAGGCATGCGCCACCACGCCAGTCTCAATGTAATTTAAAAAAAAATTTTTTTTTTTTTGGTCTTTTTGAGACGGGGTCTCCCTGTAGCCCCAGCTGGCCCTGAACTCCCAGAGATCCCCCTGCCTTTGCCTCCTGAGCGCTGGGATTAAAGGCATGCGCCACCACGCCAGTCTCAATGTAATTTAAAAAAAAATTTTTTTTTTTTTGGTCTTTTTGAGACGGGGTCTCCCTGTAGCCCCAGCTGGCCCTGAACTCCCAGAGATCCCCCTGCCTTTGCCTCCTGAGCGCTGGGATTAAAGGCATGCGCCACCACGCCAGTCTCAATGTAATTTAAAAAAAAATTTTTTTTTTTTTGGTCTTTTTGAGACGGGGTCTCCCTGTAGCCCCAGCTGGCCCTGAACTCCCAGAGATCCCCCTGCCTTTGCCTCCTGAGCGCTGGGATTAAAGGCATGCGCCACCACGCCAGTCTCAATGTAATTTAAAAAAAAATTTTTTTTTTTTTGGTCTTTTTGAGACGGGGTCTCCCTGTAGCCCCAGCTGGCCCTGAACTCCCAGAGATCCCCCTGCCTTTGCCTCCTGAGCGCTGGGATTAAAGGCATGCGCCACCACGCCAGTCTCAATGTAATTTAAAAAAAAATTTTTTTTTTTTTGGTCTTTTTGAGACGGGGTCTCCCTGTAGCCCCAGCTGGCCTGCATTCACTATGGAGACCAGGCTGGCCTCAAACTCACAGAGATCTGCCTGCCTTTGCCTCTGGAGTCCTGGGAGTAAAGGCGTGCACTACCATGCCCGGTCTGAAATAATTTCTTTTTTTTAAGTAAGGTGGAGAATAACTGACATCAGCCTCTGGAAAAAGGAAGGAAGGAGAATGAAAGGAAAGGAGAAAGATTATTGATAAAGAGGAGATAATTGATAGCTTCAAGGAAAAATAATAGTGTATGGAAGCTCAGTCAGGAATTGCTTCCATCAGACTGGCCTGTGGAGCATTTTGTTGATTGCTAATTGATGTAGGAGGACCCAGCCCACTGTGGAGGGTGGCATTTCTGGACAGGTAGGCCCGGGCTGTATAAAAAAAGTAGCTGAGGAAGGCAGGGGAATTAAGCCAGTAAGCAGGACTTCTCTATGATCTCTGCTTCAGTTCTTGCCTCCAGGCTCCTGCCTTGATCTCCTTATCCTGACTCCCTTGATGATAAACTGTATCATGTAATTTGAAATAAATCATTTCCTCCCACAAGTTGCTTTTTTTTTTTTTTTAAGACAGGATCTCCCTGTAGCCCCAGCTGTCCTGGAACTCACTATGTAAACCAGGCTGGCCTTGAACTCACAGACATCCACCTGCCTCTGCCTCCCAAGTGCAGAGATTAAAGGCATGCACCACCATGCCTGGCACAAGTTGCTTTTGATTAGTGTTTTATCACCACCACCGAAAGTAAACTAGGACAGTTTCTAACTGAAATAATGAGGGAAAAGAAATTGGAATTACACTGCTGTTAGGTTCTCATTTTTTATATGAAATGAAAAAGTGTTAGAGTGTATACTGTATTAAGCAGAAGTAACTAAATGTAAATCCTAGAGCAGTCACTAAAAATATGATACAGCCACAGGGCTGAGGGTATGGCTCAGTGGTAGAATGCTTGCCTAACATCCATAAGGTCTTAGGTTCAATTCTTAGCAGTGCAAAAACCTAAGGTATACTGGTTGATGTGTGCAGGTCATATGTAAATACTACCCCATTTTATATAAAGGACTTCAGCATTGCAGATTTTGGTATCTGTTGGGGTGTGATACTAGAACCAAACTTCTAAAGAGCTGAGAGATGACTAGGTTGGGTTTTTTGTTGCTGTTGTTGGTTCTGTTATATACTTACTCAAGTATATAATACAGCTGTCAGTTTCCAAGAACCAACAGGAAAAGTACCTACAATTTTCCCTAAAATTGAGGGATTTTTATTATATAAAATAACAGTGTTACAATCTGATAGATGATTCTTACATTGAAAATAAGTTTCAGCTGGATGTGGTGGTGTATGCCTTTAATCCCAGCTCTTGGGAGGCAGAGGCAGGTAGATCTCTGTGTTCAAGGCCAGCCTGGTCCGCACAGTGAGTTCCAGGCCGGTTTCAAAAAGGAAAAAAGTTTCCACCAATTTTCCCTTAATTGTTTTGGTCTTTCCAATGTATCTAACTTGGATTTGTTTTTGTTTTTGATGAATTTTTTTTCAAATTTATTTTTATTTTATGTGTATGAGTGTTATGCCTGCATGTATGTAAGTGCACCCATCTTGTACAGTGCCCTCAGAGGACAGAAAGAGGGTGTCTGATCCCCTGAAACTGGAGTTGCAGACAGTTGTCAGCTGCCATGTGGGTATTGGGAACTGAACCTGGGTCCTCTGTAAGAGCAGCAGTGCTCTTAACCACTGAGTCATTTCCCCAGACCCCATGCTAACCTTTAAAGATATAGTCACAAAGTATTTTGCTGAAACTAATTAATAAAATAAGTATGTATGATTTTTGGCCTAATGTGTAAAACAGTTGGACCAATGCCATGATAAATGCCTTCTTTTCCCTGGCCTGGCCCTTATTTTTAAAAATATTTTATTTACTTATTTTTTAAGTGTATTGAGTGTATTGCCTGCATGTGTATAAGTGCACCCTTGTTGTGTAGTGCCTGTGGGGATCAAAAGGAGTCGAATTTCCTGCAACTGGAGTTACAAATGGTTGTTAGCTGCCATGTGGGTGCTGGGAATTGAACCGGGTCCTCTGCAAGAGTAGTCAGTACTCTTTGCTGAGTCATCTCTCCAGCCCTGTATCTTATTTTAAAAGTTCATATATTTATTAAAAATGTAATAGTGGGGGCTGGAGAGATGGCTCAGCAGTTAAGAGCACTGACTACTCTGCAGAGGACCTGGGTTCGATTCCCAGCACCCACATGGTGGCTACTAACTGTCCTTAACTCCAGTTCCAGGGGAATCCGAAGCCCTCTTCTGATATCTGAGGCATTGCATGACACGGGTGTACTCACATATATGCAGGCAATACACTCATATACAAAAAAATAATAAAATAGATTTTTAAAAAATGTGATAGTGTAAGCCAGGCGTGGTGGCGCATGCCTTTAATCCCAGCACTTGGGAGGCAGAGGCAGGTGGATCTCTGTGAGTTCAAGGCCAGCCTGGTCTACATATTGAGTTCTAGGACAGCTGGGGCTACAGGGAGACCCTGTCTCAGAAAGACCAAAAAAAAGTGGTAGTGTAAATATTTCAGACTTGCACAGGACTGATTGTCTCAACAACATTCAGGACTCTAAAATGAAGTATAAGTGTGTGCTTGGATAGGTCCATGGGTATTCTCTGTTCTCTAGGCTCTGATCCTCTCTGCTACTGAAGCTGAACTGAGAGTTGAGCAAGTAGTAGGGAGAAGGAACACCAGGGCTGGTGAGATGGCTTAGTGGGTAAAGGTGCTTGCTCCAAGCCTGACAACCTGAGTTCAACACCTAGAAACCACATGGTAGAAGGAGAAAACCAACTTCCTCAAGTTGTCCTCTGACCACACATGTACTGTGGCACACGTGCACCCATATACATACATATACGTACTAAGTAAATAAATGTTTTTGTTTTGTTTTGTGTTTTGTTTTTGGTCTTTTTGAGACAGGGTCTCCCTGTAGCCCTCGCTGGCCTGGAACTTGCTATGTAGACCAGGTTGCCTCCCAGGTGCTGGGATTAAAGGCATGCACCAACATACCCGGCATAAATGTTTTTAAAAGACAGAACAAACTTCACTGGTTGCTGGTTGTGGTGACACATACTCAGAGCCCCAGCGCTTCTGAGGCTGATGCTGGAGGGTCCATGAGTTCAAGGCCAACCTAGGGCACACAATGAGACCCTGTCTCAAAAAGAAAAGAAAAAAAAATGAACTCAACTGAACTCTGTTTAAAATGTTGCATTTGGGGCTGGAGAGATGGCTCAATAGTTAAGAACACTGGCTGCTCTTGCAGAAGACTCGGGTTTGAATCTCAGCATCTACTTGGCAGCTAACAACCATCTGTAACTACAGTTCCAGGGGACCTGACACCCTCTTCTGGCCTCTGTGAGCACTGCATGCATGTAGTATACTTAACATGCCTACAGGCAGAATATTCATGCACATTAAATAAAAAAAATAAATAAAAATTAAATGTTACATTTGCAGCTGGGCATGGCGGTGCTTGTCTTTAATCCAAGCATTTCCAGAGGCAGAGACAAGCAGCTGTCTGTGATTTTGAGGCCAGTCTGGTTTCCATTATGAGATCCAGGCTAACCAACCAGGGCTACATAGTGAGGCCCTTACTTAAAAAAAAAAAAAAAAGAAGTTGAGGCAGAGGCAAGTGGATCTTTGCGTTCAAGACTAGCCTGGTCTATACGTAGTGAGTTCCACGCTAACCAGGACTACATGAAAAAAAAAATGTTGCCTTTGGGTGGTACTCAGTAATGGGGTCATTATGGTTTGGGGGATTCTGGGTGTCATGCCTGAAGATGAAGGTGCTTTGTACTACCCATGTTTCTCTGGGGCTCATTGGCTGAGTCAGAACTTGTTCAGAAGCTCAGAAGTATGCTGTTGCTGCATGGATCAGACACTACCATTTACCACCTCACCCTGACTCCATTCAGTCCTCTCTGTTTTTAGCTGTCTAATGTCACCATGTACCGTTGATTGTAGTGTAATTTAGTAATGACCTCATTTCCTGCTAACCTGTGTTTTCCAGATAAACATTGAGGATCTTGAAGATGACCTTGTGGTAAATGGGGAGAGGTCTGACTGTGCCCTGACAGACACTGTGGTATCAGGGAACAAAAGAAGGGCTCAACATGGAAATCCAGAGACCAGGAGAGATGGAGACATGACCAAGGCAGGATCCCCAGAACAGGTACTGGC